TTTCTCCCATTCCACAGGTTGCTTTTTCATTTGGTTGACAGTTTCTTTTGCTGTGCAGAACCTTTTTAGTTTGATGTAGTCTCACTTATTAATGTTGCTTTTGTTGCTTGTGCTTTTGGTGTCATATTCAAAAAATTCTGCCAAGACCAATGTCAAAGAGCCTTTTCCCTATGTTTTCTTCTAGGAGTTTTATAGTTTCAGTTCATATGTTTTAAGTCGTCAATCCATTTCAAATTAATTTTTATGACTGGTATAAGATAGAGGTCTAATTTCATTCTTCTGCATGTAGTTATCCAGTTTTCCCAGCACCGTTTATTGAGGAGACTATCCTTTCCCCACTGAGTATTCTTGGCTCCTTTGTCAAATATTAGTTGACCACACATGCGAGGGTTTATTTCTGGGCTCTCAATTGTGTTCCATTCATCTCTATGTCTATTTTTATGCCAGGACCATACTCTTTTGATTACTACAGCGTTGTAGTATGGTTTGAAATGAGGAAGTGTGATGCCTCCAGGTTTATTCTTTCTCATCATTGCTTTGGCTATTTGGAGCCTTTTGTGATTCTATACAAATATTAGGATTATTTTTTCTCTTTTCATGAAAAATGGCATTGGAATTTTGATAGGGATTGCACTGAATCTATAGATGGCTTTGGATAGTATGGCTATTTTAACAATATTAATTCTTCTGATCCACAAACCTGGGATATCTCCATTTGTTTGCATCCTCTTCCATTTTTTTCACCAAAATCTTAGAGTTTTCCGTGTACAGATTTTTCACCTCCTTGGTTAAATTTATTCCTAAGTATTTTACTGTTTCTGACACTATCATGAATGGGATTGTTTTCTTGATTATCCTGCAACTATACCAAATTCATTGATTAGTTCTAACAGTTTTTTGGTGGCATCTTTAGGGTTTTCTATATATAAGAAGGTATCACCTGCAGAAAAAGACAATTTTGCTCCTTCCTTTCCAATTTGGATGCCTTTTATTTCTTTTTCTTGCCTGATTGCTCTGCTAGGACTTCCAGAACTATGTGGAATAAGAGTTGTGAGAGCAGGCACTCTTATCTTGTTCTTGATCTTAGAGGAGAAGCTTTCAACCTCTCACCTTTGAGTATGTTTTAGTTAATGTTTAGTGTTCATATTATAAGTATATAAATAACATTCACAACTGATCCAAGTAGTGTATTCTGATTATATTTCCTTTCTTGTACAACTTTTGGTTTCCTGAAGTTAATAATCATTTCACATTTTTATTTGCTTGGTTTTCCATGGGCTTCACCGAATGCTTCACCAAAGTCTAAATCTTTTCTCTACATGTTCAAACACATCTGGTATTCTCTTGGTTTCCTTTTTTTCTTGAAGGAAAAAAGAGCCCACTGCCCTCCTGCTCCACCTTGGACTATATGTTTTTCACACCTGCTGCATAGCTACCACCCTTCTCTTCTTTTCTGTGTTGGAGCCCATTTCCCAAAACTCATGTTTTCCTCCCTGGCTTACTCATTCATTTCAGCAGAGAACATCCTTCCTAAGAAAGAGTGGGGAGGGAATTCTTTTGGAATGCTGCATGCCTGAAAATGACTTTATTCTCCTTTACCCTTGACTGATAGTATGAATAGGTATAGAATTCTAGGTTGGAAATAATCTTTCTTAGAATTTTGACAGCCTTGTTCCACTGTCTTCCCGGTTCAGAGTTGCTGTTGAAAGTCAGATTTCACTCCAGTTCTTGATCCTTTGCCTGTGATCTGTTTTTCCTTCTAGACGCTTCTGGGATCTTCTCTTTACTCATGTCCTCCAGCTCTGGGAAATTTTCTCGGATAATTTCCTCCCTTCTTTTTTCTTTGTTCTCTATTTCTGGAACTCATATTAGTCAGACGTTGTGTTTCCTAAATTTATCCTCTAACTTTTCATCCTTTCTCTCCTATTTTCCATCTCTTTGTCTTTTTGCTCTACCTTTTGGAACAGTTCTCCAACATTACATTTTAATTCCTCAATAGAAAATTTTCACTTTTGCAATAATATTTTTAATTACTCAGAAGTCTTGTTCTCTCACTATTCCCCCCCTTTTCCTTTGGTTCTTATTTTATGGATACAGTATTTCTTTGTTCTCGCTGAGAATATTACAGTTCTTTTTTTTTGGTAGTTTTCTTCTGCTGCCTGCATTATTTCATTTTCTCTAAAGTCTTTTTGTTTGTTTGTTTTGTTCATTTTGATCTCTTTCTTTCACTAGAGGCTTTCTTCAAATATTTAACAATCACTGGTTACCAGTGCGGGGGATCAGAATTGGCCACCTCAAAATATGTCTCTTTACCTTGAATATTTTCTCTGAAAGAAACTATGACACCCTCTGCACATACTAACTGCCTAAAAGGATTTAAGATAGAAGGCCTGTCCCCAGGACAGGCCATCACTATAGATAACTCTGGGTAGGGATAGACGGGGAGGGTCCTTGCTAAGCCCATTCTTATCAAAGTTCTGTTTACCAAACATTTATATTTGTAAGGAAAATCTCCATTTGTAAAGGTATCTCCCTCTCTGTACTGAGAAGAAGGGAGGATGACCTCATCTCTAGAAACTTGTCAATGCGGAAGGCAAGGCCTTAAATCTGCAACGTAATACTCTTGTTTACTGTGTTTTTTTGGTAATCTCCCATAGGTGACTCCCGCCACCCCCAACATCCTCCTTTGTCTTTACTTGAATATGTTATTTAAGAAGAGAACCTCTGTAATTTTGGTGAAAAACTCAGTTTCCCTGATCTCTCCCATGTATACATGTTATAAAACTTTGTTTGATTTTCTCCTGCTATTTGGTCTCATGTCAGTTTAATTTGTAGCCCAGCCAGAAAGGACCCAGAGTGGGTAGAGGATAGTCTTCCTCCCTTCACCAGTTCACATTTAAGAGTGAAGCACTAAAGAGTGAACCAGAAGCTCTATATGAGGGGTATTACTGGTTGACTAGTGAGATTCACTGTCTGTTTCAGAGTGAGAGAATCAGGCCATTTCACTGAGGGACCCCATATGGCATTATCTGTAGGTCTTGACTTTGGGTTAGACAATTTCTCCAAAAAAGAATCCTCTGACCTCCTGCCTAAGGGATTTCAACCTGGCTGTCAACATCCTGGGAGCTGAGCCATGAAATGTGGGTCAGGGATGGTGGCGGTGGGTCCTCACTATTCACTATTTAGACTTTCACTTACTCCCCTTTCTTTTAGTGCAGAGCCTCCCCTCCAGCCTCAGCTGTGCCAGATACCCCAAGTCCAGACCTTCTCTGGTTCACCTCTCCAGAGAGCAAAGCTCATATCTTTTGCTGGTGTGGATGAGGAGACCTGGGGCCTAACTGCTCCTTAGAAAAACTTTTAACTAATCCTCGGAATTACATTTTGCACATGAACTCCTGAGCCTCTCTAGGTTGTTGTGGCTCAAATCAGCCTACACCTTATTTTCACCTCTTCTCCCACTGCCCGCCACCCCCCACGCAGACAGGCATTTTTAGCTATCTCTAGTCTGCTCAGAGTCACCACTCGCCCATCCTTTCTGTTGACGTATCTTATCTGCTGTCACTGTCTCTGTTTGTCACTGTCCTTGTGTGTTTATGCCTTTTTCATTCTTTCATGATTTTGGGGTGGGAGCTGGAGTGGGAGGAGGGGCTAGGAGATACATTCATATGCTTCACTGGAGGTCCAAAAGCCCTCATTGAAAATGCTTTGGTTTTGTTATTCTAAGATAATACAAAATCACTGCTGTCAGATGGCTGTTACTTGCTGGCCAATTTGGTTAGAATAATCTTTACTCCCCTACTCAGGAGCAAACAACACACACCACCCACCTCCAGCTGCTCAGAGGTTCTCAATGCCAAGGGCTATAGCCCCTTTGCGGTCCTCCATCCTACAGAGTCTTTAATGATGGAGGCTCCCAAACAGCACCATTGTGTTAGAACCCACAGGGCTCCTCATCTTCAGGATGTAACTGCTCATCTGCATGAATCATCCCTGGTTGACTTTCTTACCCCTATGAACACTCATGTTTATCTGCTCGTTTGGTCTGAGAGATTAGAGGAGGACGGCTCTATTGGGAGTAAACTTCCTGTTCTGGGTCCAACCCTGTCATTGTCCTGGCTGAGTTCTCCTTGCCTGTAGTTTTATCACTGCCCCCTGGAGAGTCTCACACACAAAAGAGGTGAAAAGTTAAGGGGTGTGTGTCCTCAACTATTTGATGAGGTAACGGCGTGTAAACACTTCAATAAGAATCATGGTGAACATAGAAGCTAGTAATTATTCTCTAGTACTTGACTATATGAACATGAATTATATTTTATAGTTATATACAATTCCCTTAGGATTTAAAATTATTTTCCAAGAAGAAATTCTCCTCATTTTACATAGGATGAAATGAGGTTCACAGAACTTACTGAAGTGCGTTCCAAATAGACCAGTAATTTTTTTTTTTTTTTTTTTAAAGATTTTATTTATTTATTTTTCCCCCAAAGCCCCAGTACATAGTTGTCTGTCATAGCTGCACATCCTTCTAGTTGCTGTATGTGGGACGCGGCCTCAGCATGGCTGGAGGAGTGGTGCCTCGGTGCGCACCCGGGATCCGAACCCGGGCCGCCGGCAGCAGAGCGCACGCACTTAACCGCTAAGCCACGGGGCCGGCCCAGACCAGTAATTTTTTAAAGTGTGGAATCAGTAAGAATGGATGTTTACAGGAGAAGTCAACTCTTCCTTTTAGGTATCTTTCAATGCTAAACAGTATGATTACTTCCCTGTTTGGTTTTCTTCTGAATTTTTTTTAGCTTAAAGCAAAATAGCTTGGAAATATGACAGATTTAAGGTATAACATTTCTTTTCACTCCCAAATGAGCATCTCACCCAATTTTTAGCTTAGTCTTTCACTCTGGCCAACTGCTTTTAAGGGGTCATGTCAAAACCCCAAAATACCTTTTGAGACGCACAACGTGAAGCACACAGACAAACCAATAGGAGTAACATGCCAGACCTACCTGTTGAAATAACAAGTAACCACAGCCCCAGCTATAGTCATCTGCTGGCAGGCCAGGATGAATTCGCTGGTCCAAATGAGGCCAATTAAATGGTACCACCACATATACCTAATGCCGGAAAGAGGCTTATACTCCACTTGGCCGCCTTTGATAACCTGGGCAGCTCCTAAAATTTAAAACACAAACACACTTTACACCAGTTTTGCCAAGGGTGGAAGATGGTTCCACAGGCCATATTTCCTCACGCCTGGCCTTTGGCATTACATGAAACACAGATGATGCCAAAGTAAAGTTTGAAGCACTCATCATAATTTAAGATCTCTGTAGCAAAAACTAAAAATTGAAACACACATTTAACTTATGAATAACATCAACAACAATAATTACAATGACTGATTGGTAGGGAATTTGCAAGACACTTGACCTGTACTCTAATACCCATTCCACTCTGTAGACGTGAAACTGAGGTTTGGAAGAGACAAGTACTTGTCGTGAAGTTTCACTGCTCATGATTAGTGGGAGGAGAATATAAACCCAGACACATCGGACTCTAAAACCCCTGGATTTTCTACTACACCACTTTGTGATGTAAACAAAAGTTGTTATGTTGATGAAACCACACAAAGCCATTAGGACTATGTTATAGAACCTTACTTCACCCAAAATTTAGCCATTCTAGAAGACAAGGATCTTCATTTTTTCCAAGGGATTCATTTCAGATTTCATTTCAAGAACAAACTCTTCTAACACACTGAAAATGTCACTTGGCCTCAGTGTTAATCTTCTAGGTTCAAATTTCAGCTCTACCTCTTCCTGGGTAGCCTGGGGCAAGCTGCTTGGCCTCTTGGAGTTTCAGTATCCTCATCTACAATACCCATTTCCTGGTGGTAGTTTGAGTGACATTACCCGGTAAGTGCTTAACAGAGGGCCTGGAATAGCACTCCATTAGTGATAATGATTATTATTATTATCAAATTTTAGGAGCACAATACTGTCTTAAACCAAGACCAGCAAGGTGACCCCAACCATGCTCTGCCATTCCCAACAATGCTCTATACCCCCCTTTATGTGCCCTCATCTAAAGAAGCCCTCTGCAATTTAATTCAATTCCATTTGGATTTGGTAAATCCCAGCTCTGGGATTGCATTTGATTTCTAGAAGTCCTCCACTATTAATTTTAAATAAACTACTGTAAGTAAGAAGATGGGCACTTTGGTCTTTGCAAAACCTACAACTTGAACAACATTTAAAGATAGTTTCAGATTTCCTTTCATAGCTATAAATTGCTTTTAGGTTCATAATTCATGGGTATTTAGACATTCACAATAGAGTGTGTGCAAAGGAAGTGGGAGAAGATAATCATGCTGTGGAGCAAACTGATTCCACAGACGAAGGCTGGGCCTGGTTCCTTACGCTCTGTGTTCTGCTGAACAAGAGTCACATTATGAGAAATAGTGGAGCAGCTTGATTTACAGAGAGAAGTTAATATTTTATTGAACACTGGGCTCATTCTGGCTTGGAGGCAATCTCTGATTCAGGTAAGGCACCGATAAATGCCTATGCTTTTCCAAAATGGGTATGTTTCAGAAAAGCATTCCCAATTCCAAAGGAGGTGACCCCTCACAACTAACGGGCATGTTTGGGTAGATCAGGTCAGTGGAGACTTGGAGAAGCACTCCCTAGAAGAGCAGACGTGACAGGGGCCAGCCAACAAGCACTCTGCTGCTCCTGCAAGGTCTACAAGTCCCGGGGACAGACTGCAGTTTTCCAAGATTAGATGTACAATTTCATAAATGGTTTGGGGCTGGAGAATGTTTCCACAGAGCAGGAGGGATGGTTTCCTCTACAGACAAAAGGTAAGTGCAAAGGCCCTGGATGCTAAGGGGGGACAGTTTCTCCTCGTGCTGCCCTGTGTTGCCAACGGCACATTCACACACATCACAGCTGGGTACACTGATGGCGGCAGTTGGCAAGTGGAGAGCAGCTAGAGAGGTAAGTCAGGATCCGTGCAGGCCTTCAAACCCTTGGATTCCCCAAAGAAGCAGAACCTGTACGTTATTCTTGACTGCTTGCTTGTTTTTGAACATCTTTATCGAAGCCATCTTCTATTTGTTCTTCTGGTTCAGTTATACAAGCCTGTTTATATAGTTTCCTTTAGGACAGGGCTTCTCAACCTCTCAACCCACTAATTGGCATTTTGGACCAGATGATTCTTTGTTGGGGGTGGGGGGACTGTTCTGTGCATTGCAGGATGTTTAGCAGCTTCCCTGGCCTCTACCCACTAGATGCTAGGAGCATCCTCCCTTCTCTCCTCCAGTTACAACAATACAAAATGTCTCAGTACATTGCCAAACGCCTCCTGGGGGACAAAACTGCTGCTTGAGAACCACTGCTTTAAGCAAACATTCTCTGAAGAATCAGGCGCTCATGCTGGCTTCAGGGGAAAGCCTAGGAACTAATCTGTGGGTGGGGCAGGCGCGTTTATGCGCACATGACTGCCCTCTCCTGGATAGCTGAGTTGGTGCAGGCATGAGCCTCTCATCAAATGACCAGTTGCTTTGTTACTAAGGGCTGTTACAATATAGCTACTACTATGGTGCCTAACAGGTGCTAATGGGAACTGGACTGCTACAGATACATCCCAAGATATGATGGATCTCGGGGATGGTGGTGGAAAGGGCCCTGAACTAGGAGAGGACTTGGTTCCTGTCTCAGCTCTGACATATGCTATAAGCAACCTGGGCCTCAGTTCTCTCAGGATAAAGATGAAGAAGGTAGATAAGATGAGCCCTGGGACAGTGATTACAGGCTTCGGCTTGAGAGTCGCACAGGCTGAGATTTACATCTCTGCATTGTCCTTTAACTGCTGACCAACCTCTGGCAGGTTATGGGAGCTTTTTAAATCTGTTTCATCATCTGTAATCTGAAGGTACTAATACCTACTTCTCACTTCCTCATGGCTCTAAATGCCATATATGTAGCTGCTATGAGGATTAAATGGGTAAGGCACTTAGAATAGTAAGTACAGTGTAGGGTTAGCTGTAATTGAGATATAGGTAGATACGAGTCCAGCCCTGAAATTAACAAATATTTATTAAGCATCTACTGAATACTGGAATTAGACTGGACATTAGCTATTAGGAGAAGAAAATGAAAGAGGCAAACAAAAAATCGGAAAGAAGATACCATCTGAGTGACTATCAGGAACTCACATGTTGCCATGTTAGCAATGGCATTCGTCTATTCATCTATTCGTCTCCCCTTCTGGACTGTTTATAATTTCTCCTCCGACCTTGGAGAGTTTTTTCCCATCCTTGCTCTCAGTCAGCGACCTAACTTCCAATTTCTCTGAGAAAACTGAAGTAATCAGAAAACCTCTGCTAGAGCCTTCCCCCTACTTCTACCTGCCATCAGCACGTGTCCATAACCTGATCCCCCTTGATATGATGAACTGTCCATGATCCCAAGGCCAGCCCCTCCACTAGATCCCCTTTCTCACCTACTTGAAGATCTCTCTTCAAATCTCCCCTTCTTTCTCGCTTCATGAAAATATTCCTCTGTCCTGAATCATTTTTAATCATCTCACATGTTTTTAAAAAAATCTACTCTTGACTCTTTCATTCTCCAGCTTCCTTCTCCTTTCTCTGTTTCTCTTTGTGGACAAATTCCTCAGATTTTCTCTACTTACTTTTTCTAATTCTTTTTCTCCCACTTTCTCTTAAACCCACTCCAGTCCTGATCCACTCCCCCACTTCTCTGAAACGGGTTTGTTCCACCTCCGTTTTGCAAACTTCAACCGTCAATCCTTAGTGCTTATCTTACTTATCAGCAGCACTGGGCCATTCACATCTTGAAACTCTCACCCAAATTCCAGGACAGCATACTCTCTCTCCTCCTGCCCACTGGTTGCTCCCTTTCAGCTTCCTTCCTTATTCTTCCTCACCTCCTGGCCCTCTTAACAGTGAAGTGCCCCAGAGCACAGTCCTTGGATTTCTTCTCTGTCTACACTCATTCTAATCTTATGGCTTTAAATACTATTTATATGCCCCCAAATTCCCAAATGTAGATCTCTACCTGGGACCTCTCCAGAAACTTCAGACTCAAACAGCTGACTGCCTACTTGACATCTCCATTTGGCTGCCTAAAAGACCCTTCAATTAACACAACCAAAAACGAATTTCCGATCTTCCCCTAAAATGCTCCACTCAAAGTCTTGCCCCATCTCAGTTGATGGCAATCCCACCTTCCAGTTGCTTAAGCAAAAACCTCAGTATCATCCCTGACTCCTCTTTCTTTCATACCCCTCATTGAATATATCAGGAAATCCTTCAAAATAGAAGCAGAATCCAATATGTCACACCATGTCCACCATTACGACCCTATTCTAAGCCATCATCATCTCCTCCCTGGATCACCGCTATTATGAGTAGTCAGATCATGTCAGTATTCTGCTTAAAACACTGTGATGACTTCCTCTCTCAGATTAGAATCAAAGTTCCTATAGAGGCCTACAAGGCCCCAGGATCTGACTCTGTGCTCTCTCTGACCCCCTCCTGAACCACGCCCTCCCTCAACCACGCCACTCTGGCTGAATGGGCCTCCATGCGGTGCCCCCAGCACCTCTGCCTCTTGCTGTTCCCTTTCCCTAGAACATTCTCCCTTCCCTTATACAGTCTCATGGCTCTGCCCTCACCCCCTTCAAATCTTTGATGACATATCACCTTCTCAATGAGGCCATTCCTGGTCACCAAATTTAAAACTGCACCCCTCCCTTAAGGGTTTCCTTTTCCTCTTCTCTGCTTTATTTTTCTCCATAACACTTATCAACTTTTAATGTACTATGAAATTCACTTACTTATTTTATTTAATGCCTATCTCCCTCTAGCTTCCAAACTGGAAGGAAGGCTGTATCTCCAGCATCTATAACAGGGTCTGAGACAGTACATGTTCAATAAGTGTTGAATGAATGAATGAACCAACCTTCCTCAACTAATATATCCTATCACAGAGATCTGAGACAATTTTCTGGAGATCTTCTAGAGACTACCAATATAACCTGGAGGAAATTCATCATGCAGCCAGCTGTAAATCTGAACATTACAAGCAAACTTTAAAGAATTTCAAAAGACTAAAGTGATACTAGTGATCAATATAAATGGCAGTTTC